TCGGTATTTCAGGATGGGTCTTCCTAAATTTCATACAAATTGAAATACCAATCATTCATACCAAGTCAAAATAACATGCCACCAAGATAAAATAAGTAACAAATCCAAAAGCAAAATAATAAGTTACAAACCTAATATGTTTGAAAACTAACAATACAATTTTTTGATTTCGTGTTGAAGAAAGAGACACATTTGGTTGAAAAGCAGTACTATAGGGTGAGTGTGTGTGGGAGGTTCGTATTGGTAGATGTGGCAATAAAGGGCTCCGGTTACCATCTGTAGATCAAATGTCAGAGTTAAAATTCTGGAAATCCAAGAGTTGGATGCCAAAGGGCTATGGTTACTACCTGTAGACCACACCAATTATATTGCTACTGGTAGTTAGCAACAATTCAAATTTATAATAATGAGATACACGTACACACACACACACACACACACACACACACACACATATATATATATGATACTTATTTTCGGTTCTGTATGAGATTACTGAAACATTGAGGAGACAATACTGATTCTTGTACCGAAATTTTGGGATCAGTTCGCTATGTTATCCTAAAAATTTTGGGAATTTTGATTTGGGACTTTTTTTAGTTTGGAATCGGAATTTTTTTTTGTTTAGTTCGAAATTTTCAGGAATTTTTTTTAGCTCTACGCACCACCAAAGTTGGCCATAATTAAGGTTGTGGTTTTTGTGTCTTTTAGTCCGCCGCGCAAACCTGAATCTTAGATAGGGGTAGGCCTGGCAAACGGGTCGTGTCTATCGTGTTCGTGTCGTTTTCGTGTAACACCTGTTATCTTAACGGGTCGTGTCGTGTCACACCCGTTATCTTAACGGGTCCTTAACAGGTCGTGTCACTTTACCCAACGGGTAAAGTGACCCGACCCGTTATGACCCGTTAAGAAAAAAAAATATATTTTTTAAATTTGCACATACCATACATTGCCACGTAAATATTACTTCAAAACATTAAAACATTTCTCGTTCAAGTACTATATCTACACTCAAAAATAAAAGCCTAATAAAAAAATAATACATACACTACTAATCTATTACAAATATTAAATGTGTAAGGATAAAGAGTTTTTGTTTTTAAGATAAGATTTTGTGGTATTCACTTGTGTAAATATTTTAAATTGAAGATCGAATTCATTCATTGTATTCATATAGGGTCAAGGAGTGTAGTTATAAAAAATCATCAAAATCGGAGTTAAAATAACCGTTAAATCGTGATTTTTCATTTATAACCGTTGAAAAGCTTTGTCCCGTTACTTGATCTCTGAATGTTTTTTTTTTTGTGATTTTTTGCTGATATGATCTCCAAGCATATACAAACAATTTTGACGGTTTGGATCGTTGAAATTAGTTTTGGAGAATTCGTAAAACGATAGATTGACTAACACTTAGAGTTTATTTATACTTTTATTAAGTATAACATAAGATTTTGTGGTATTCACTTGTGTAAATATTTTAAATTGAAGATCGAATTCATTCATTGTATTCATATAGGGTCAAGGAGTGTAGTTATAAAAAATCATCAAAATCGGAGTTAAAATAACCGTTAAATCGTGATTTTTCGTTTATAACCGTTGAAAAGCTTTGTCACGTTACTTGATCTCTGAATGTTTTTTTTTGTGAGTTTTTGCTGATATGATCTCCAAGCATATACAAACAATTTTGACGGTTTGGATCGTTGAAATTAGTTTTGGAGAATTCGTAAAACGATAGATTGACTAACACTTAGAGTTTATTTATACTTTCATTAAGTATAACATAAGATTTTGTGGTATCCACTTATGTAAATATTTTAAATTGAAGATCGAATTCATTCATTGTATTCATATAGGGTCAAGGAGTGTAGTTATAAAAAATCATCAAAATCGGAGTTAAAATAACCGTTAAATCGTGATTTTTCATTTATAACCGTTGAAAAGCTTTGTCCCGTTACTTGATCTCTAAATGTTTTTTTTTTTGTGATTTTTTGCTGATGTGATCTCCAAGCATATACAAACAATTTTGACGGTTTTGAATCGTTGAAATTAGTTTTGGAGAATTCGTAAAACGATAGATTGACTAACACTTAGAGTTTATTTATACTTTTATTAAGTATAACATAAGATTTTGTGGTATTCACTTGTGTAAATATTTTAAATTGAACATCGAATTCATTCATTGTATTCATATAGGGTCAAGGAGTGTAGTTGTAAAAAATCATCAAAATCGGAGTTAAAATAACCGTTAAATCGTGATTTTTCGTTTATAACCGTTGAAAAGCTTTGTCCCGTTACTTGATCTCTGAATGTTTTTTTTTTGTGAGTTTTTGCTGATATGATCTCCAAGCATATACAAACAATTTTGACGGTTTGGATCGTTGAAATTAGTTTTGGAGAATTCGTAAAACGATAGATTGACTAACACTTAGAGTTTATTTATACTTTCATTAAGTATAACATAAGATTTTGTGGTATCCACTTGTGTAAATATTTTAAATTGAAGATCAAATTCATTCATTGTATTCATATAGGGTCAATGAGTGTAGTTATAAAAAATCATCAAAATCGGAGTTAAAATAACCGTTAAATCGTGATTTTTTGTTTATAACCGTTGAAAAGCTTTGTCCCGTTACTTGATCCCTGAATGTATTTTTTTTTGTGATTTTTTGATGATGTGATCTCCAAGCATATACAAACAATTTTGATGGTTTGGATCGTTGAAATTAGTTTTGGAGAATTCGTAAAACGATAGATTGACTAACATTTAGAGTTTATTTATACTTTCATTAAGTATAACATAAGATTTTGTGGTATCCACTTGTGTAAATATTTTAAATTGAAGATTGAATTCATTTATTGTATTCATATAGGGTCAATGAGTGTAGTTATAAAAAATCATCAAAATCGGAGTTAAAATAACCGTTAAATAGTGAGATACGTCATGACAGTCATGTGTGTGATAAACAGTTAATAACTTAAAAAAAAAAAATTTCTCACCGCTTCTATTAATTTTCATTTTTCCCTCTCTTTTTTGTTACCTTTTCAACTTTTTTTATCATTTTCACTTTTCCCTCCAACATCTTTCTCTAATTCCCTCACTTTTTTGTTTTATTTTCAACTTTTCTTAACATTTTCATTTTCCCTCCATTTTTTTTTTTCAAAAAGGGCGGCAAGTTGGCAAATGGCAATGGCAAAAAATTGATTATTGAAATTTGAATGGAAACAAATCACATCTGACGCATCAAATTTCAATGGATGCAAAATCATGCAAATATGCAATGCATGATCATGCATATTAAATTATTAATTATTAATTATTATAGTTTTTATAAAATTTAATATATATATATATATATATATATATAATTATTATAGATAGACTTAATATTTTGGGGGTATAATTATTATAGTATATATAATTATTATAATTATTATAAATTTTATAGTTAATTTAATATATATATATATATATATATATTTATTATAATTTTTAGGGGTATAAAATTGTAAAATTAATGTTTATAATTATTACAGTATTTTTTTAGGGTTATAAAATTATAAAAATAATATTTCGCTTATCGTGTATCGTGTTACCCACGTGTATACCCGAACCAACCCGTTATCTTAACAGGTGCTTATCGGGTTACCCGATAAGACCCGATTCGTTATCGTGTCGATCCAAACACCTGTTAATTTCGTGTCGTATCGTGTCGGGTTATCGGGTCGTGTCAGAAATTGCCAGGCCTAGATAGGGGGGATATTTACTCGTATTCCATTATAAAACATTTCCCTCCCCAATTATTATTTCTACTGTACGTTTTTATACGATACAACAATATATTTATACTAAGGATGAGAGAAATAAATTGGTTCCAACTTGACATGTACAAGATTTAAACCTATAACCTTTAGATTATAAGTGATAAAAAACATTACTAAACAGTAATACTAAATGATATGTCCTAATCAATAATCCATATGATAACCTTTCTCGTTTCCAGTGGGTCATGACTTGTAAAATGAAAAAGGTAAAGGATCCGTGATATAATTATCACCCTAAAGAAGAAAGCCAAAATAGTTACTCTACTGGACCCATAAAATGCATATGCCGTGTCAACGAAGGCAATATGAACATGAGCTAAACTTTAGTTAACTAAACTGTTAATTAGGTTAACTAAGGGAAGATTTGTGGTTACTTAGGTTAAAATGGAAAGAATTATTATTAGATTTTTTTTTTTTTTTTTTTTTTTTTTTGAGGAAAGACCAATATAGAATTAGAACCAACACATTATCTAAAGGGAAACCATCTCAATACAGTACTATCCAAAATTATCATTTGTCCAACAAAAGTCTGCCCAACGAACTACATTTTGTTTGGCAAAGTAACTTTATCCGATAGGATAAAAAATTTGGTCAACATTTAGATTTTTTTTCAGAGACTTTAGGCGATGCAATATTTCGACGGGCAAAGTTTTCATGCCATCGGAAAAAAATTGGCACGCATTATGTCACTTTTTTTCAATGGAAACACAAGTACGCCAGCAGAGTCAATTTTGCGAAATGAAACATTGGCCAAAGATCCACGATGACTTGTCATAAACCCTACCGGCACTTTTTTGCTCGATGACTTTACCAACTTTGCCTAATGAACCATTTTGTTGGGCAAACCCCAACTCATTAAAACAGGCCGTGTGGTCTTCTTTCCCTTCTTCTTTCTTCATTTTCAGAAAAAACTCTACCAGTCTTTGAAATGAACAAGGAACTGAATTAAGCACGAGAACGTGGTGAGAAAAATAATCCAAGACAAATTATTAATTTCTAGAATAGGACAGATATGAGAGGAGATCTCAAATAACCTACACAAATGAGCCACATTCAAAGGTTCTACTGTGTGGTGTGTTTATCACGTGGCACTATTAGTCCTACGTTGTACAACAACACTTTCAAAAAGAACAGGGCGTTGTCGTACGTAGGTTAGCAATCGTTTATTTATTCCCAGTCCGAGCACTGAGAGCCCCACTCAATTTCCTCTTCCATTGCTTCTCACTCAGTCACTCACTCAATTTCTTCTTCCGTTGTCTCAAGTTCAACTATTAATTTCTGACATTCTTAATTTGCCGCATAATTTTCTTTACATAAGATTCATTTTGTAGCAAGAGAAAAGATAAGCCTTTTAATTCAATAAAACTCCCCCTCGTACCGTGGAGATTTCTTAAAATCATGGAGGAAATTATATCCTCTTGTTCTTCACAAAATTTTGGTCAAGAAAACTCACCCACACAACAACGCCTCCAGTTCCTACTTCAGAACCGCCCGGAAAGGTGGATCTATTCAATTTTCTGGGAAGCCTCAAAACACAGCAATGATTTAGTTTCTTTGTCGTGGGCCGGTGGCCATTTTCAAAGCACTAGGGACTTGACCTCCCAAAAAACCTACAACAAAGTCAGTCATCACCAACCCAAATTGGGGTTCGATGTTCTGGAGAGGAAGAGGGCGATTAGCAGAGAAGTTGAAGCTCTTTTCCATGAAGACATGGATGTGGACGGTGGAGATGTTACCGACGCTGAGTGGTTTTACTTTTACACCGTCTCTTTAACCCAGTCGTTTACTGCCGGCCACGGGAATAGTAACATTCTGGGCCGTACGTTTTGTTCCGGTGGATTTGTTTGGCTGGCAGGTGATCATCAGCTTCAATTCTATGAGTGTGAGAGAGTGAAAGAAGCAAGAATGCATGGAATTCAAACTTTGGTTTGTATTGCAACTTCATGCGGAGTACTTGAACTCGCTTCTTTGGATGTGATCAAAGAAAATTGGGGTCTTGTGCAGCTATCAAAATCACTTTTCGAATCAGACAACACCACCACCACCACCGACAAAGTCTCAAAGCAGCTGAGCAGCAGTCTCGTGAATCATGTTCCTCTCTTAGAAAGTGGAATGTTTTCAGGAGCTGATAAAAACGAGTGGGCAACACAAGGTAATCAAACCAATCCAAAATTTTTTATACACTGAGCAATACTGCTACCGACTACCAATTTACGGATCTAGTGGTGTATGGACAATGATTTATGTAGATTGATATCTAATACCGATCGATCTTTCCCGTTTAGATGACATTTACGAGTGCATTTTATTTGAAGTACTCACATGATCTCCACTCCAGATACCGATATTTTGTTGATATTTGTGTATTTTTACACTCAATATTTCATTGACTTTAAAGTTAAATATTTTGACATGAAGGTGGTACAAAAGAAGCAGCTCCTGTAAATGTAGGTGGATCATCATCAGACTCAGGACCTTCTGACTCTGTTGGAAACTTAACCTCTAAGAACACACAGAACATTCGATTAAAAAAGAGAGGAAGATCATCAAACCGTGAAACAGGCAGACCCGAATCACCAATAAACCATGTTGAGGCAGAAAGACAAAGGCGAGAGAAGCTTAACTGTCGATTCTATGCCCTCCGCTCTGTCGTTCCCAATGTGTCCAGAATGGACAAAGCTTCTTTACTTTCTGATGCAGTTGTATACATCAATGAGCTGAAAGCAAGGGTTGGGCAATTGGAGTCCAAAATTCAAGCACAACTTCAAAAGCCCGGTGTTGATATTGGAGGCCAAACAAGCTCCATAGTTGATCATCACCAAACAAGGCCTAGGCTATCATCAAGTTACAATAATAGAGCAGTTGGGGATATGGAAATGGATGTGAAGATTGTTGGCTCAGAAGCCATGTTACGAGTTCAGTGTCCGGATTGCGATTACCCTAATGCTAGATTGATGAACGCACTAAAAGACCTGGAGTTACAAGTTTATCATGCAAGCATATCAAGTGTTAAAGAGTTGATGCTTCAAGATGTTGTGGTAAGAGTGCCTCATGGATTCACAAGTGAGGAGGCCATGAGAACTGCTATTTTAAACAGATGGTACAACTAGAGTTATAGTTCATCAATAATTAGTTTACCTTGCCAATAATGAGTTATTTTGGGTATTGATGATGATCTCATTCTTCTTCGTTGTTATATTGCATGTAACTCAAAACTGAATATGTATTAGCCAAATTTTAGGAGGGAATGTATGTGTAATGTAATTAAATTAGGAATAAAAAATACAATGATATATACATGAGGAGTGGAGTGAGGCTAAGTCACATCATGAGCTAGACATATTAATTTGGTATCGAACTGAGCATCCACATAAGTGGAACATAAGACCTTTTACTAACAAGTGAAAAAATACAATTAGTATGACGTGGCAGAAAATTGAAGAACACATAACCTTTAATTTATAAAATAGAGTATTCAGAAGAGAGAGCGAGATTTCACAACATTTTTAACAGAAATTTAGATAATTTGTGAGTTATTGGATTACCTTGTGGATATAATATTTCTCTTTAACACCACAAGTCATGTTCAAATCTTCCCCCCTCGTTCCTCCAGTAGCGCATTTGCTATCCCCGATTTGATATCTCTTTTGGGTTTCTTGTTTTGTTTTTTTGACACATGTCTCTCAACTTAACTCCACATCTAACATTGTTAGTTTTACTAAAATTAATTAAAAATAAACAAAACTAAAAATTAAACATAACAAATCAATTTGGGCCGTCTATTATTACTTGAAAGTTTTGAAGGTTAGAAGCCTAGAAAGCATAATATAAATTTTTGGTTGTTGTAAAGTCAACGATATGTGTGCAATAAAATAAAATAAATACGACACAATATTTACGAGGTTTGGCAAGTGTGCTTACGTCCTCGAGGCACCAGTAGTACTTTTTTTTATTATCTGAAATAATATAAGTACAAAATAACTTTTACTATTTTCTCTTTTCTCTCTAGTCTGGCTCACTAGTAATTTCTTCCGCATCTCTCTTCTTTCCTTTCTCTTCCTTTCCTCCATAACTCATCTTTCTTTCCTTTATATGTTTTTCTCTCATCTCTTTCTTTTCTTTCTTACTTCTTCCTTCCTCTGTATGCTCTCATCTTATAGGCAAAATACTACTATAGCAACACTATTCACTTTACAAATTTTCCTCAAATGAATAGTGAAATACTGTGCATGAATTACTCATCCGTTTTTCTTCATATGAATAATAATCCATCTGATTTTTCTTTGGATGAATAGTAACAAACTATTCATGTGGGTCATCCATATATTAAATTACACCACTCCCCCTTGAATGGCCATATGTCAATTTTGTCTGCCTCGTTAAAGCCTTGATATGTTTTGGATGCTTTTCCTGATGAGTATCTCCTCCTGATTTTGAATTCTTTAATTTGACTGATTACTATGTTGATGTAATCTGCTGCCATGCATGATAATTGGAGTGTTTGCTTTTGAAGGTGGTTCACATGTGCTCCAAATTTTAATGGCCATAGGTTTTAACCAAACTCCTGTATTTCTGATAAATATGAAGATGTGGCAATGAATGTTGCTTCCTTGATTGTTGTTGGATCAATTTATTTCCATATGTAAATACAAATCATTTCTGAGAGTGATTTGTATGCAGACTAGAAAGATATTCAGATTTTTGCTTGCCCAATAAGACCATGGCTATTAGTGAGTTCTTTGGAATAAAGAATAAGAACATGTCTATAATTTCTTGGAGTTATCAAAAGATAAACTTTACTTCATTTTAATACCATATGTTGGTATTGTGCTTTATAGGAAATATAACATCTGACTCAGTGTATTGTAGTAAATACAGTAAGGCACATACCTCACTAAGATATGGTACTCTTGGACCAAATATCAATTCATCATTTCCCTCACAAGTACGAATGATCTTTCTTAGTGTCTAAATATTGGTTATTCATTTAAGTATTCAACTTATAATCTTCAATCCATATGGTTTTTTAATACCATAAACATTTTGGATAAGATTTGTGTTGGCATATTGTTTGATCTACAGTTAGAGACAATATTCCCTTCAACTCTTTATAATCTTTCTAGACTCTTTAAGAGTTCCAATCTAATATTAACCCTTGCAAGAGATTCAATGTGTTGCAACAATATCATAATGAAAGTACTCATTAAGACACTTTATACCATTCATTGGTATGGAGTACATAATTTATGCTTTACTCTTCCAGGGCTTTCTTGAAGCAATTTGAATCCTTCAGCCATTTTCTACACTTCATGACACATTCTCATTTTGAATTTATACATAGCAACTTACTTCCATGTATACTTAAGGGATTTACTTGTGGAGATATGCTTCGGGCATGTATAATTCTCCACTGAAATGAACAAGCTTCACAATTAGAAATCATATTTCCATGAGTGTATTACAATTTCAGGTTTCAACCAAGAACCATGTGTCATATCATGTTAGTGTATTTCACTATATTAAGAATGCCCATATAACCTTCTAGGTTTAACATCATTTGGCGATTTGTACTATAGGTCTATTTTTCTACGTTCTTAATAAATTGTAATGAAATTGCCTTTCCATTTTGGCCAATAATTTTTCTTTTTGTCATCGGACAAAAGAACATGGCTCAATATCAACACAACTCATTGATGAATTTAGTAGCTACTGAAAACCAAAATTAACATTGATAATCATCAATTCTGATCCCATAATTCTTATATACATGCACATGCATATTTGTAAGTATTTCAATACTTTGGATATCCTTGCCTTTTCATGGGCTTTACATTGTCTCTTATAAGACAATCATCTTTTATTAGATGAATTGTTTGAGAGTTTGGATCATAATCTCATTTAGAGCATTATAGAGCTTGGATTTTTAATTTCCACTTCTGGGGAGTTGAATCATTGGAACCTACACATCGATTATGCTTCAGGCATGAGATATATTAAAATTGCCGTATCCATGGATTATCCTTTCGGAACTTGAATCCATGCGGCGATTGTCATGCTTCTGGCATGCAACAATTCAATAGTGCCAAGTTTATGAATAGTCTAACTGAGACTTCAATCTATGCGGCAACTTTGTAACTTGTAATCAATTAGTAATTTTCATTACCTTTTTGTACATCATGTGAATGATATAAACTGGTAGAGTTTGTTGGGGCTATGAATAGGATTCCCATCATTGAACTTTGGTCTTCCATTCACTCAGTTAGCCACCAATTTTCTCCCTTTGGACTTCTATGGGCTAATCATTGGTCCTTCTACTTTAGTCTTTTGCATAGCAGAAGTGGTGCGTAACCTTTGCCCTTGGATGGTCTATCACTTTTTGCTGACTCATCCATGCTTGGTAGCTTCAGTGTAAAGAGCCAACAACGTACCAATTATTCTGCGTTGTTGGTGACTTGAGACCCAACTCCAACAACAATTGAAGATAACTACTCGAGAGCAATGCAAGGTAAGCAATCAGGGAAATGTTCCAGGTAGTCGGTTCCTGACTAGAAGTTTTATTTCAGGTTTTGATTGATTGCTTTCTTTATCCTTCTCTTGTAGGCAAGAGCAATGGCAAAGGAAAAGACAAGGAAAGAGCATGATATGAGATACTTTTGCTCTTGACCCTGATGATATGAGATACTTTTGGTCTTGAAGGAAAAAGTGTAAGATTTTGATGCTGGTGTAAACCTTTTTGATCGAAAGGGGTTTCTTGCTGAGAAAATAGTTTGACATTTTAAGGGACTTGGTTGAAGAGAAATTCTCAAAGAGAATGAAGACTGAATATGTTGAGAGGTTTGGTTGCATATGCATTCTCGGCAAGGTAGATGAGTTAGGCGTTTTGGAGGTGTTCTTTGCCATGGAGGAGAAAGGTCGACATATATAGGGATTTCCCAATAGTAGGTAGTGGTGCGGATGTGGCCTTGTCACCCACGCATGTCGGCAATAGTGGTGTAGTTAGAATAGTGAACTTTAAGCGTTTAAACATTGTCAAAGATATTTTCACAGAGTTGTCCTTGATATCCAGAAAGCTAAGATTGCGTCTAAGAAATGTTGACAAACTTTATTCAGAAAAATTCTGCTTTTGAAATTCGGAAAATGGTGTCTCTTCGATTTTTAAACAGGTGGTTGTGTTACCTCTCCTTTTATAGAGGTATCAATTGTGTTCAAAATACATGCTTTGAAGGTTGCTCGCCTATGAAAATTATCTCTGTTGTATTTCTGAGGTTGCCCATCCAACCTTTGTTTAGATTTGAGTCTCGGAGGAGATACACAAAAGATGCGCCAGGATAATATCTGGCGCTTGTCCTTTTTATCTTCTAATGGCCTTCTTACAATTGGAGACTCCGTGATGAGGGATGATATAACGGTTACAGTAGTAGCTAGGAACCTTCTCATACCTAGAGACAAAAGAATACTTTCAAAAAAGTTTGATGAATTGACTATTCAAGACTCTTTGGCTTTCAGTATTCAATGTGCGAGTTCTATATCTAACATGGGTCAACGTCTATTTGCTCGAACTCACCAAGTCGAAACATTAATGGCTGAGGTGGCAAGTCTTAGATAAGAAATTAGAGGGTTGAAGCACGAGAATAAAGAGTTGCACAAACTTGCAAATATTTACTCGATGAGCATGAAAAGAAAACTCGACTAGCTGCAGGAATCTGAAAGTGATCACCAGAGATTCATGGCTGGATTCCGAAGGCAACTGGTGTCTTCCTTTTCTAGTGTTTTGTCAAGTAGTGGGCTGTCACATGAGCAACCTTTGTGAAGGCCCTCTATTTGTTTGTTTTTGTAGTTGTAACTCATGTGTATGTATAACTTTTTTTTCTTCTCCCATTTGATTTTATGCCTATCTGAAAGCTTCAACTTTAGCTTGTTATATATGGGAACCTATGGAAACTTCTGGTTCCATAATTAATGAATCAATGAGCCCTTAAGCAAAGATGTTTTCTAATACCATACACTTCCACATGAATTCTCGGGCATTATGAATTCATGAAAGTATCTCTTGTGTAAGATGTCGATGGTCACAAAATCGGGTTTTGTTAAGTTCACCATTTCCTTATTCCCAAAAAAAAGAAATTTTGGTATGACAAAATTTGCGATAATCAACTCATACCACATATAACACATGTCTACACAAAATGTTAGAACTTCAAGTTCTTAACATTATTCATATTTTGAACTTCAGGTCAAAACATTATTCATATGGACTCGAAATTTATTCTTAATATTGACATCATTTTAGGTTCATATTTTTGGAACTCATGGCCATACTTAATCTGTACATGGATTAAGGAACTCATGGTCTTCATTTACATGAATCAAGGTACTTCTGGCCCTCATTTAATAATATGTGGACTAAGGCACTTATGGCCGTCATTTTAATTTAATTGAGGAACTGCTGCTCTCTTAGTTGATTCAAAAACTTCAACTTTTGATTTGATCAAGGAACTTTGGTTCGGTCCTTTTTATATAACGATGATCAAGGAAATTCAGGTTTGATCTTTTTTCATGGTGGAACTTCATCATGTCTAATCATTTTATATGATGAGGATCAAGAAACTTCAGGTTCTAATCTGCTCAAGCAACTTTGGGTCCTTTTATATATAAAATGTAGTACACTAAATAAATTAAAGCAATAAGCGATAATTCCAGCCATGGTAAATAAATTATTTTTAAGTAAATAAAGCTTGTGACAAGGGTTTTAATTCATCACCATTGACATAAATATCAAAGCTTTAAAGCAAGGGGTAATAATTTCACCCACTGTAAATAAATAGAACTTGTGATAGGACTTTAAAGCAGCACCATTCACATAAATATGGCAAAACAAAAAAGGCAATGATTAAGTCCCCATCTTTTTCTTTTTCTTTGTCTTCCACTTTCTTTTGGTTCGTCCCTTTTATTTTTTTTATTTTCACAACTCTAAGTCCTTTTAGTTACTCAGGAAGTAATAGTAACAATAAGTCTTCATTGGTGTTCCTCCTCTGATGAATTTCGAAAAAATAAAAACAGTTCCTATAAGTTTTGGAGTCAAGAGTAGTGCCTGCAACTTATGAGAAGATCAAATCGTGAGATTTGGCTCAAATTTTAATATGATATGGATAGAAGGATACTGAACAACTTTTGCGAAGAAACAATTTCGATCTGAACTATTGAAAAAGGAGTTTTGGTACTCATAAGATGGTTGTCCAGTTTTCTGCGGAATTGGAAACTGGGTTAGTGTTTCAAACATCTGCAATAATAGAAACACATATGTTATAGGTACTGGGAGGACGAACAACTTTCAAGAAGGAAGTATCTCAATTCGAGGTCAGCAAGTTGGAATTCAGAGTGGCTGTTAGATTTTTCTGTCAATAATAATGATAATGGTTATATAACCAAATGTATATTTACTTTAAGAAAATTAGCCATAAAGAGATATGAAGATGAAATGAAAAGATTTTCTTATCTGTGAGATTCCAGCTGATAGAGGTGAGAGGTAGGTAATGCTTCACCGGATTTTGGCGTTGTGCTTTCCACCAACATGAGAGCTTCTCATGCTGATAATGTGCTGTAAAGTCAACGATATGTGGCAGTGGAATAAAGTAAATAAGACACAATATCTACGTCATCGAGGCAGTAGTATACTTTCTTTCATTAATAGAAATAATACGAGTACAAAATAACTCTTACTATTTCTCTTTTCTCTCTTGTCTGGCTCACTAGTAATTTCTTCCGCATCTCTCTTCTTTACTTTCTCTTCCTTTCCTCCATAACTCCTCTTTTTTCCTCTATACATTTTTCTCTCATCTCTTTCTCTTCTTTCTTACTTCTTCCTTCCTCTGTATGCTCTCATCTTATATGCAAAAGATTACTATAGCAACACTATTCACTTTACAAACTTTCCTAAAATGAATAGTGAAATACAGTGCATGAATAGTAACCCATTCATTTTTCTTCATATGAATAATAATCCATTTGATTTTTCTTTGGATGAATAGTAATAAACTATTCATGTGGGCCATCCACATATTATATTACAACATTTGCTTTAAATTATTACTTTTAGGTTTACTATTATATATGTAAACACGAGAAATTCCTGAAACAAGCGACAAGAATACGTATACAAAATATATTTTTTGTATTAATGATTTTGGGGTTACAATCTCTTTGTAATTTGGTCCTCTGATTCTATCTTCGTAGGGTGTGGGTTTGTGGATGAGTTGTTGATCCAAAGGGCCGTCGGGGCTTGATCTAAGGATGAACAGTTGATGAATGGATCTTCAAGGGGCGTTGGGCTTGATCTTGAAGAATGGGTGTATGAGTTTGTTGAGGTTGTTGATCCAAAGGGGCCGTTGGGGCTTGATCTTAGGATGAACGGATGATGAGCGATGAACACTTTCTTCAAGGGCCGTCGGGGCTTGATCTTGAGTTGGTGGGAGTTCTTCAAGGGCCGTTGGGGCTTGATCTTGAATTGGTTGGAGTTCTTCAAGGGCCGTCGGGGCTTGATCTTGAAGGTTGATGGATGAGCGGATCTTCAAGGGCTTCTGGGCTTAATCTTGAAGGTTGATTGGATGTGTGGATTTGTTGAGGTTGCTGATCCAAAGGGGCCGTTGGGGCTTGATCTTAGGATGAACGGATGATGAGCGATGAACACTTTCTTCAAGGGCCGTCGGGGCTTGATCTTGAGTTGGTGGAAGTTCTTCAAGGGCGTTGGGGCTTGACCTTGAAGGAGGATTTGACGAAGAACGCAGAGTGATTTCTTGATCCTTCGGGATTTGCTTGAGAGCTTTAGAGTTTCAAGGCTTCTTTCTTTCTTCCTTCATTCTTTTCTTCTTTTCCTTCTTCCTTCTTTTCCTTCTTTCTTCCTTCTTTTCCTTCTTCCTTCTTTTTTCTTTCTTCCTTCTTTTTTCTTTCTTCCTTCCCCTCCAAAATGAATGCCTTGGCTTCCTATTTATAGAATTCCAAAACTTGATTTTTGGATTTAAATAATCAGATGAAATAAATCATTTCTACCAGGTATTGACACGTGTCCTATTTGATGACTTTTCCAATTTATTTCGATTTTTCGTTGAGTCACATGCTACATGTAAAATTTATGTGATACGTGAGCGTTGAAATTTTAATTTTTGGTGAACATTCATTTCACCGAAATTTTGATGTCTACAAATGCCCCTACTTCAAGGCGTGTCGTAGACATGTGCTTGTCACGTGTAGAAGATGCGTTTTGAAGTCCCTTAATGTAGATGTCAACCCAAGGGCCGTCGAGGCTTGATCTTGAATTGGGCTGGAAATTTCTTCAAGGGCCATCGAGGCTTGATCTTGAGTTCGACTGGAAGATTTTCTGGTTTCCTCCAATCGTTGATTTTCCGCAGGCTTAATCTTGAACTGGGCTGGAGGATTCTTTTGGTCTCCCCCTATCGTTGATTTTCCTTTATGCTACTCTTGAACTGGGTAGCAGGATTCAGACACATGGCAGGCAAGCACGAGGTGGAAGTGTGACCTGTTTCTTTGTTCAATCTTTCCAATTCGTATTGAAGAGGGTAGATCGGAAGACTGACTCCAAGTGCCGACTGATTGCTCTTTTCACTTTGCTATGCGAGTAAGAACAAGGACAAAGGAAAGGACATGGAGAAAGCATGATATGAGATACCTTTGCTTTTGAAGAAGCAGCGAATGAATCAGCATATATATTTGTTGTGCTTGTCTCCACATGCTTTGATGTATCATTTTCACTTGCCTTACTTGCGCCCTTTGCAGAAGTGGTATTTCCTTATGCAGGTTTGGCATCTTCTCTTGTAGTATTTGTTCCTGATGCAGGAATGGAATGCAACCTTTGCATTTAAATGGTGCTTCAAAACATTACTTCTCAGCGACGATGAGTACTCGAGAGCAATGCAAGGTAAGCAACCAGACAAAGGTTCCAGGCAATCAGTTCCAGGTCGGAAGTTTGATTTCAGGTTCCGACTGATAACTCTATTTCCCTTTGTCCTGCAGGTAAGAGCAAGGGTAAAGGAAAAGACAGGGAAAAAGCATGATATGAGATACATTTGCTTTCGCCCTTGATGATATAAGATACTTTTGCCTTGGTGTCATTTGTTTGCAAGGGTATTCCCGGAGAGGAAGAAAACTGAGCATTTTGAGATGCTTTGCTGGGAGTGCGCCCTCAGAGGTGAGGAAGAGTTGGGCATTATCTTCAGGTCTGCCTTGCCATAAAAGATGAAGGTCGACATATATAGGGATTTCCCAATAGCAAGTTGTGGTACTGTTCTTTTACCCTTGTCGACAAACGTTTTGATCCCGCAAATCCGGCTTTTTGAAATAGTGACGACTCTTTGATCTTTGAATACGCATCTTTGATTTCTGAACGACACCTCTTCAATTCCTGAACGAGCGCCTCTTTTGACAAAGCTGCTCGCGTTTTCTGAAAAGCAGAGAAAGCGTTGCCGAACTTTGCGCTTGTCGGCTAAAGATGTGTAGCTGCGATGATGGCCTCCACGTGATCTTTTGAAAAAGTGGCACCCGTGCTCTGAAAAGCCGAGAAAGCGTCGCCCACCTCCACGTGTTTTCAACTTTGTCGGAGATCTTTTGACAAAGTTGAACGCGTTTTCTGAAAAGCCGAGAAAGCGTCGCCTGACTTACGCCGGAAAATCCAGCTTTTGAGATTTGCAGAGCGATGTCTCTTCACTTTTGAATAAGCGGCCCTTCGATTTCTGAACCAACGCCTCTTTTATTTCTAAGCAAGCGCCTCTTCCTTTTTATAGAGGTATTAATCACCTCTAACATGCACACTTTGAAGGTTGCTCATTCCTGAAAATCATCTCCGGCCTTTTGAGTTTTAACTCCATCCACCCATCTCTTTTAACACCTTTGAAAAAATGGCTAACCCATCGAACCTTAGCTTAGAATTGGGTCTCAGCAGTGATACAGGCGCGCCGCGTCAAAGTAACGTATGGCGCCCTTCTTTCTTATCTTCTAACGGTCCTCTTACAGGTGAAGACTCAGTGATGCAGGATGCAACAACAGCTACCATAGTAGCTAGGAACCTCCTCACACCAAAAGATAGTAGGCTGCTTTCAGGACGGTCCGATGAGTTGGCCGTTCAAGAGTCCCTGGCTCTCAGTGTTCAGTGCGCAGGCTCTGTGTCCAACATGGGCCAACGCCTGCTTGCTCGCTCCCGTCAGGTTGAATCATTGATGGCAGAGGTGGAAAATCTCAAGCAGGAGATCAAACAGCTTAAGTACGAGAATAGAAGTTTGCATGTGCTTGCAAATAACTATTCGTCGGGCATGAAGAAGAAGCTTGATAAGATGCAAGAATCTCAAGGTCGAATTCAAAGTGACCGTCAAAGGCTTGCGTCTTTCTTCCAGAGACACCTTTTTCCTGCGTCATCAAGCGTTCCCCCAAGTATTGGGGCCTCGAATGATCTATCTTTGGTGCCTCCCGCTCCTGGAGTTTGGCCAAGTAGTGGGGCTTCACGTGAACAACCTTTGTGAAAGCTCCATCTTTCTCTTTCTTTGTTAGATACATTTTTTTTTTTTTGCACTTGTAATTTCTCGAAAATCAATGAACATGCTTCGTTTTATTTAGTGTATAGTGCTAAATACAGAGAAAACATGTACATCACCAAGATTTTTTATTTTTTTTTATTCTTTTCTTTGCTTTCGGTAGCGCTGATCCACCATTCAGATGGTGCCAGAAGCACCACCATTGTTTTTTTTTCTTTCTTTTTATATATATTTTTTCTTTTTGCACATGGTTCCAGAAGCACCATCATTGTTTTTATTATATATATATTTTTTTTTTCTCTTTTTAATTTTTTTATTATTCTTTTGAAAGATGCTTCCCAGCATCATCATTGCTATTTTTTTTATTATTCTTTTGAAAGATGCTTTCGTGGGTGAAAACCCAGGCCGAGTCCGAGAGAAGACGGAGGAGGTCTTTGGGTGTGAGTTGACAAACTTTGATTTTGTCAATCACATTCAAAGGCAGCAGCAGAGGCAAGCAGACGGATGAGATCTTTGGGTGTGAGTTGACAAACTTTGATTTTGTCAATCACATTCAAAGGCAGCAGCCATGGCGGAGGTGCAGAAGCAGCCAGATCTTGAGGCAGAGTGTAAGGCGTCGAGTTTGAAGATCGGCTAGTCGTTTGACAGCGGTCAATGAAGCTCTTCGTTGATTTTGATCATGGTGGCCAGAATGACGAACTCGAGGTAGTGCAAGGCGTCAAGCCTGAAGTGGAGGAATTGCTGCATTCCATGGATAAGGCCAGGGAACACCGGGAAGACAAGGAATTTGCGAAGAGAAGCCATTGACATTCTGTTCTTTACTTTTATGTAAACCATTTCGAGTACCATTCGGAACCTTTTTTATCTGCAGGATTTAGAGAAGAAGCCATGGAATCACAAATAGGTGCATCCACTCCGAAGCTGAGGACTCTACCATTGCTTTTTTTAATGCAGGGTGGTGAACTCCATTTGGAGCATCAATCCGAGCTGCTTCAATAGCCTCGCTAATGGTCATGATCCATAGGGCTGTGTTGGCCAACGAGGCCTTAGTGAGCCCACTGTTCCCTGCAGAGCATGAGATGAAAATACCCCTCTCCATAGCCGTGAACGCGCCAATCGCGATCATGTTGCGGTAGTAAGGAGCGGAGCCACCGCCTAGAGAAAGCAACAAGATGTCGACGCCGTCGATGATGACACGATCCATTCCCACGATAATGTCTGAACCGAAACATCCGGTGCTCCAGCAAACCTTGTAGGCGGCGACGCGCGCGTGAGGCGCCATTCGCATAACCGAGGAGGCTGGCGTTGAACTCGGTGAGGAGGGAGTCGACCTAGGTGGCGAGGTCGGAGGGGCTGTAGAGGACAAACAAAGTCGAAGCTCACTGAACATTTAGAGCACCCATCCTTTTTCCAGTACAAGTCCTGCAGCCTGCCCTTGTTGAACTCAAGCACAAGGGTAAAGCTGGTGACAGTGTAGGTACCATTAGCAACAAAAGTAGGACGGGACCTTGCAGCATGTTTTCGCCCAGCAAACGCAACCATATACCCATAAGTATCCGGATTGAAGGAGGAGGAGTTGACGGAGAGGAGGGAGATCTCGTCAACTTTGGGTCGGAAAACGGAGATCTGGGCATTGGAGGAGAGAGAGAGCCTAGAGTCGCAAGGAGACAGCTGAACGGTGCCGTTTGGTTGGAAGGATTCCTTGGAGGCAAAGGCAATTCCGAAGGTGAACCCGTCGGACCTCTCCACCTTCGTGTCCGCGCACGGCGAGTACACGGGGTTGTTGTCGCTGCCGTCGATTACATGCATGACCGTCGTTATCATCATAATCGTGATCATCAAGGTCGTCGTCCATGGAAAAATCACCGTCATGGTTGATCCAGCGATTGGGGATTAGGGAAGAAGGTTGATTTGAGTGATGGGTGGGCTGGAGCAGTTGTGAATTGGAAGGTCGCACTCTATGCATAGAATCGCTCTGTCCTACTGGCAAAACAAGAAGGCTCTTCTATCCTGACAGATATCGCAGATGGGGAACTCCTTAGACGAGGGGTGGACGACGTTGAGGAGAGAGGAGAAGCAGGATTTTGGAGGCAAAAACTGCTGTGGCGGCTGTGAAGGGTCGAGAGAGAAGGCCGGCGACGGAGAACAGGAGGCGGAGGAGTCGATTGGTTGCAGAGGAATTTGATGATGGTGACCTTGGTGAGGTCAGGCGAGGGTCCGTCCATGATTTTAATACTAGGGTTTTGCTTCGACTACTGACTGGGAGATGAGGATAGCTTAGGAGAGAGAGAGTGATTAGAAGAAGGGGCTGGAGTTGTGTGCTCGCTGGGCTCGTTGAGATAGAGCCAAACTTGCTGTCAATCACTCAATGAAGGCTGTTTACATATTATATACATATATATATATATATATATATATGTAAGTATCTTTTTTTTTTTTTTTTTTTTTTTTTTTTTCGAGTAGAGAATATATATATTTTTTTTCTAATACATAGAAACATATGTATTTTTTTTTTTTTTGAGTAGAGAATATATATATATTTTTTTAATACATAGTAACATATGTATATATATATTTTTTTTTAAGTAGAGAATATATATATATATATATATTTTTTTTTAATACATAGTAACATATGTGTGTGTGTATATATATATATATATATTTTTTTTTAACAGGTACTTACTGCATTCATAGATTTCCTTGCTGTCTTTTGACGGATTACCCATGTTCACCATTGGTGGCAGCTTCTTGTGAAATTGGAATTGGTGACGGAGTGAGCAGGATGTGGGTGCAACTGTACTCTTTGCCTGGTGCTTGTTGCAGTGCGCCACTTTTTACCATGTGGTGCTGTGCAAAAGACTGCAGCGGGATTTCGCTGTGTAGTGCCTTTTGGCCACGGTTTTCCCTCGGCGGTGACTTTGTTGTGCACATTGACCTTACTGCTTGTCGTGGGCTCTTTACCACTGCTACTTGAAGCTTGTTCCAAAGTGTCACTTTTATCGTGTGTGGTTGTGCAAAAAACTGCAGCGAGTTTATGCTGTGTAGTGCCTTTTGGTCACAACTTTCCTCGGTGGTGACGTTGGTGTGATGCTCACCCTTGTAATACGGCTTTGTAACCAAATCATTCATTTAAAGAAATAAAGTATTCATAGTTTGAATTCGCTTTTTTTTTCTTCAAAGTGTTTGTGTTTTTGTTGGTGATGTGACTGTACTTGAAGTTTTGAAGTTTCAAGTTGCCTACGTACCCTTGGTTGAGGAGGGATCAAGTCATGACGTAGTTCAAATGAGTGATGGTTTTGATGATGATTTTGCCGTACATAGTTTATGCTCTTGCGGGCCAGGAGCGTGGTGCGTTTGCTTTAGGGGTAGTAGCGCTTCAAAAATCTACCGTTGATGGGGCCGATCTTCAACCCGTCTTCTGCCATGATTAAGTAGGCGCCGTTGGTGTAGATCTCTTGTATCACGTAGGGTCCATCCCACTTTGATGTGAACTTGCTTTTTGTCTTATGAGTTGTAATGATAGGCCTACGCAATGCCAGCACGAGATCTCCGGCTTGGAAAGACCTTGGGCGGATTTTCTTGTTGAATGCCTTGGATAACCGTGCTTGGTAGCATTCCAAGTGTTGTTGAGCTTCGAGCCGTCTCTCATCCAGCGCTTCCAACTCCTGAAGGCGCAACTTTGCATTTTCTTCATCAGTCAAGCCTTCTTGTATAGCCATCCTTAGTTAGGGGATTTGACTTTCGAGCGGTAGAACAGCTTCTACGCCATATACGAGAGAATAAGGTGTAGCTCGGGTAGGAGTCCTATGTGTAGTCCTATATGCCCAAAGTGCTTCACTTATTCTTTCATGCCAGTCTCTCTTTGTTCGGCCGATTACCTTTTTCAGGAGGTTGCACAGCGTCTTGTTGAATGCTTCTGCGAGGCCGTTGGCCGAAGCATGATACATGGAAGACTTGTGCTGCTTGAACTTGTATTTGTCGCAAAGCTCGTCCACGAGTCGGTTGGAGAACTGCTTTCCGTTGTCAGTGATAATGTAGCGAGGCACCCCATATCGGTGGATGATATGCTTCTTGATGAAACGAACAACAGTTTCCTTTTTTACTTCCCTTAAAGGTATGGCTTCAGCCCACTTGGAGAAGTAATTTGTTGCAGCTAGGATGTAAGCTTCCCCTGCAGATGACTTTGGCGTAATTGGTCCTACAACGTCCAATCCCTATGCGTCGAACGGCCATGAAGTAACTGTAGGGTGTAATGGTTCAGGCGGTTGATGTATGAAGTTGGCGTGGAACTGGCAGGCTTGGCACCTTTTGGCGTGTTCCAGGCAGTCCTTCACCATACTAGGCCAGTAGTAACCCATTCTTTTAAGCCGGAAATGTAGCTTTGGTCCAGACTGATGTGCCCCACACACACCTGAATGTGCTTCTTCCATGGCTTGATTAACTTCTTCCTCACCTAGGCATCTCAGGAGTACTCCTTCAAAAGAGCGTCGGTAGAGTGTTCCTTTGTAGTAAAGAAAGCGAGGTGCTCGTCGACGTATTTCAGAACGGTGTCTAAGATCATCTGGAAGCTTTCCATGCTCTAAGTAGTCGATCAGCGGCTGTCTCCACTCTTCAGCATCGACTGGAAGTACTGAGATGACATTTGTATCATCTAGTGACATTTCATTAACGAGCGGAATCACCCACCTTTGGCAAACTGGCACGTCTGCAACTTCATCTTTTCCTAGTGTCATACTCGAGGCTAGATTGGCGAGAACGTCTGCCATTTGATTTTCCTTTCTTGGCACATGTTCCAGTGTCACAGCTTCAAACTTTCGTAGCAGTTGGGTCGCTAGCCGGAAGTATGGGACGAGATCATCTTTCCTTACCTCATATTCAGTTAAGAGTTGATTGATTATAAGCTTGGAATCGCCATACACCTCAAGAGCTGTGATTTCCATGTTGATCGCCATTTGGAGCCCGATTATCAATGCTTGGTACTCAGCAACATTGTTGGAGCATAGCTCATTTAGTTGGAAGGAGTAAGGTAGTATTTGCCTTTGTGGCGTCATGAATACTACTCATGCCACCGCTCCATCTGCTCGTGTGGATCCATCGAAGAACATCGTCCATGTCGGAAAAATATTGATGTAGAACGCCTCTTCGTCAGGCAAGTCGTCTGAGATTTTCCAATCAGCCGGGATTGGATGATCGGCAAGGAAGTCTGCTAGCGCTTGTCCCTTGACGGCTTTAGCTGAGACGTAGATGATCTCATATTGATTAAGAAGCAAAGCCCATTTAGCGAGTCGCCCCGTCAAGACCGGCTTAGACATAACGTATTTGACAGGGTCGGCTTTAGCAACCAAGTGGATGGTGTAAGCATGCATGTAATGTCTGAGTTTCTGAATGGCAAACACCAAAGCGAGGCACATCTTTTCTATTGGGGAATAGTTCAACTCAGCGCTGGTGAGAGTCCGACTGAGGTAGTAAAGTGCTCCTTCTTTTTGGGATTCATTCTCTTGCGCCAAGAGTGCTCCGATTGAATTTTCCTGAGCAGCAATATACAATATGAGTGGTTTCCCGGGCACAGGTGCCCCCAGGACAGGTGGACTTGACAAATATTTCTTTATGCTTTCAAAAGCATTATGGCACGCTTTGTCCCATACGAATGGGACATCTTTCTTCATAAGGCAACTGAACGGTTGACAACGCCCTGCGAGGTTGGAGATGAAGCGTCTAATGAAGGCTAGCCGTCCTTGTAGACTTTTCAGCTCGTGCAGGTTTCTTGGCTCGGGCATGCTTTGAATGGCCTTGATCTTTGATTGGTCTACTTCAATACCACGGTGCTTGACGATGAAGCCGAGGAATTTTCCAGAGGTGACGCCAAACGCACACTTTAACGGGTTCATCTTGAGGTTGTATTTTCGCAGCCTTTCGAACACTATTCGCAGATCCTTCAAGTGGTCTGATCTTTTCTTCGTCTTAACCACCACATCATCTACGTAACATTCTACGTTTTTGTGTAGCATGTTATTGAAGATTTTCTGCATTGCGCGTTGATACGTAGCTCCAGCGTTCTTTAGACCAAAGGGCATCACCTTGTAGCAGTAAATACCTTTTGGAGTACGAAAGGCTGTTAGTTCCTCGTCTTCGAGGGCCATGCGAATTTGATTGTACCCAGAAGAGCCATCCATGAATGATAATGCCTCATGGCCAGTGGTTGCATCCCCCATGATTTCAATGATTGGCAAGGGGAAGTCGTCCTTTGGGCAAGCATCGTTGAGGTCCCGGAAGTCTACGCAAACACGTATTTGTCCTGATTTCTTAAGGACAATGACGATGTTGGAGATCCACTTGGGGTATTGCACTTCTCGAATAAAGCCTGCTTCGATTAGCTTGTCGATCTTGACCTCGATTTGTGGGATAAGCTCAGATCGATAGCGTCTTTGAGTTTGCTTTATCGGTCGTGTTCCAGGCCTGACCGCAAGATGATGAACAACAATGATAGGGTCCATGCCGAGCATTTCTTTGTAGGTCCAGGCAAAGACGTCTTTGTACTCTAATAACAGCTGATAATACTCCTCTATCTCATCTGTACTTAATAATGCACTTACGAAGATAGGCTTTGGTTCCTTGCTTGTACCTAAGTTGAGTTCCTTGAGATCATCGACCGTGGCTTGCCCCCCGTCTTCGAGCTGTGGTGGTGCAGCAGTGACATCTTCCTCGGGGATTTCATCTTCTTTACCTTCTTGAATCGTGATGTGGAAAACATCTTAGATCTCCTCTTCAGTGCTGTGTTCTCGAGCTTGTTGGCATAAGGATTGTCTGGTGTGGATGATAGTACGCCTTCTCACTTTCAGTGGTCCCTTTGTGTCGACCTCCAAGATTGCTTGGCGCTTC